ATTATACAAATTTATGTCCTCATTTGTCACAAAAACGCGCACACACACACACACACACACACAATGTAACAGAGTGGGGCACAGAGAGATGAATTATTTAGAAGATAGGATTGATTTATTTCAGTGTGAGTGAAGCGCACTCTTAACCCTGATCAAACAGGATTAAGATTACAGTACCCCTTCCTTCCCAATAGGTGGCGTTTAGGTGGCAAATTTAGATCCATCTCTACGCAAATAGGGTACTGGATATTTTTGGCGTAGTGTCTATTTCCAATGCATGTCTCCTGATTAATTCATTAAGGCGATGGTTTCATGGAAGAGGTGATGCCCTTAAGTGCAGGGTAAGCCATGCTAGCAGCTTGCTAACAGAGATTCAGTATTATAGCACACAGTATTTTTCATCAGCCATTTGTCTGAAAGAGGGGCTGTATGTGCCAGGGGCAATAATCAACGTAACACCAAGGGTCACAAGTTCAGCTGACTCACTGGCGTAGATAGGCCACCGTGCTGTAATCCCTTTCAATATCGGCATGGAGAGTTTTATAACAGCCTCATCCCTGATAACAGTAGACCAGGCTGTGCTACCACAACCCACTTTTATTGGACCCCCCTTGTTAAAATTCCAGGACTTTGTCATGCAGCCTTTCTGTCAACATAAAACAACTTTATGCAGGGCTCCAGACAAAAAAAAAAATCAAGCATGGAGCCATTGGCTTGTATAAGAAAAAAATTCTTAGGGGCCAAATTATTTTTTAGGTGCCACAGAATAAACGTGTTTTATTTATTTTATTATTATTATTATTATTCTTTTATTTTTAAAATTTCAATCATACTGTCATGTGTTTATGTCTAATCTTTTCTTGACTTTATCAGCATTTTAATCCATAGATGCTTTGAACGTCTCCGTCATTCCGATCTCTCTCACGCTGCACAATGGAGCTGCGTTTAGCAGGTGTGCATCAACGCTGCTGTTCGGCTGAGACGAGGACTGTTTGAAACTCTTTTTTCCACTAAATTTTTGATGTGCGTCATCTCAGTTTATCACGTCAAATTAACAAAAGATGTGATCACAAAACAATCAGGAAAAAGCCATTACATGCACATTTTTAAGTCATAACATAAATAGCTATACATAGTCGCCAGTGGCGACCTCAGCAAAAACTTCACTCGCAAATTAATATTTTTGGTCGCAAATGCGACCGTTTTAATCGCAGTCTGGAGCTCTGTTATGGCTGACTGTGTTCTCTTTAGTGTACTGAATACCTGACCATTTAAATTTGATAGCACACAAGATGCTGAAGTGTATGTAAAAATACAAATTGAACTCTCAATTTTCCCAAAGACAAAACCAAAATGACAAAAAAAAGAAAGGCTTACCTGGTGAATCGCACTTTGCAGATGGCGCACTCATAGGGCTTTTCTCCTGTGTGTGTACGGATGTGGCGTGGAAGCTTGCCTGCACCTTGGATGACCTTGGAGCAGATAGGGCACTTCTGGAAGGCCTTAGACCGTATCTTCCTCTCACTGCTGTTACCCCCTCCAGTCGCTTGGTTTCCACCTCCGTTGCCCCTTAATGACCACAGTGGTAGCACACTTGGAGACATGGGGGCACTGGTGGCTTCCTCGTGCTGCACACTATTAAAGTACTTCAAGTAAAACTCCACATCTGGCTCTTCGCCCTCCGGCCCATCCTCCTCACCTCCACCACCTGTCGTGGCCGGTTCCCTTTTCCGCTCCAAGGAGTCCATCATCTGTTGTAGCAAAGCACTGGCTGGGCCTTGTTCGTGCTCCCGCTCACCTGTCCCCTCAACCTCCATCTCTGATTTGGGCTCTGCCTGATGGAGATAGTAATGTCCATTCTGAGTGGGAGCATAAATGGACATCACAGCCTCTGCACCTTTCCCTCGAGCTAGAACTGAAGGTCCATCCTGGCACTCCTCATCCACATCCTTGTCTTCGGGTTCACGAGGTGGCTGTGATAGGGCTTGGGCCAGTGAGGAGTAGTAGTCAGCAGGGCCGATGGGCGTGCCATTGCTGTCAGCACCGTTGCGTTGGCTAAAGTGCAGGTGTGCAGGCAGGTCCCTGAGCTCTGGCGTGCTGCAGCTGCTACCCCAATGCGCCCCCCTCTGGAAGAACTCCAAGTACTCATGGGCACGCAGCCGGATGCCCTGCTCTTTTCCATTCTTTCCTTGTTCCTCCTCTTCCTGGTCTTCTTCTTGCTCACTGCCCGCCTGCAAAAAGAAATGGGACTACATCATTATATCGCTCCAAAACATTCATTAGTCAAGTTGTAAAAAACACACTCACCGGCGGGGAGAGCACTTTGGTGTCCAGCAGGTGTGTGCAGACGTCTTGGACAGGTGAGATCTCCAGCACACGGGCGGCGCTTAAGATGTCAACCACACTGTTTTGACTGACTGTGAGTGTGGCTGTGTAGGCAAAGTCCAAGAGGGCGGCCAGCGCCTCAGGCCGCACGACTTCAACTTGTGGGAGTTGAGACTTTAATCTGACTTGAAAAGCAATCTAAACAGCCTTCTTGTTTACAGCAATCAGTTTAGGGTGTTAACTGAATTCAAATGTAGCAGCATGTCAGGGTGGCAAGCCTGCTGTCATGATGGCAGTGGAAAAGGAGAATCTGTACTGTGCAGCTTTGCTGGGGTGGGGGAGTGTACGGCACATAGAGTAGGGCTGGGTACCATGTGCACTGAATTGCGTGTCAGTTGGCTTCTGGGGAAGGGGGGTGGGGGCAGGGGGTTGCCGGCTAAAGGCCCGAGTGGAAAAAAAATCCACTAGAGAAGGAGGAGGAAGAGTAGGAGGACACACGCAGGGCTGCAAGGGAGCAGTATTAAATAGGGAGGTTGTCAATCCGGTCTGAGCCGGTTACCCCACCCAACACTGTGTGCCAAGTTTCAGGAAAGGCCTGTCCCCTTGATCACGTGTGGGGGGAGATTAAAATGATCGACCACAATACATTCGAGGGTAGAGGGAGGGGGGGCTCTGAAAGGCAACCCTCCTTGATTTGTCCATTGGCAAACACATGCTCACACGTGAACACCAAACAGCCTAACTACCCCCCGCCCCTCCATCTGCCAGAGTGACCCAGCAGGGGGTGAGGCCACAAGGGGATTATACTCAATAAGAGCAATGAATTCAAATGACATTCCTTCAGATCAAGCCCCTTGGTATGTATGCAAGACCTGCTCAACCTGGCTGCTTGCTCGCTCTCTCTCTCACGCATGAACAAAGCTGCCTTCCTCCACACCTTGAGAGCTGGCACAAAGTCAGGTCACTATTGGTGTAACAATTGAGAGGTAGTGGGAAAGTAAAACACAGCAGCAAATCTGACCCCCACTACCTGTCTTGCTTGCATTATGTGGATGACATTTAGGCTCACCTTTTGTATGCAGTTTTTTCATGTTGTCTGATTTCAGCAAATACAGTTAAAGAGTTCAGTGTCAGAACATGATGAAAATACCATAAACTAGGACACATATGCACTACACAATTCTATATAGTACACTTCAGTGAAGGCATTCCAATAATAGTCCCCCACTGGACCACATCTTGACTTAAGTTGGATGGTAATGCCCATAAGCCAATGGCTTAAGCCCTTCTCTCTGTCTCTCTCTTCACCTTTGAGCTAAATGATGGGCACCTGTAGGGCAAGCTTTGCTACCTCACACTTTTCTCTGTGGTTTTCTGTTATTTCTCTGATAACCCCCCCCCACCCTCCATCTACTTGACTAACAGGTGCATTCTATCTCATTGTTTTATTGCAGAGAATTTGAATAAGTTAAGCTAGAAGCCAGACTGGAGGTTGGGTTAGACAATAAGTGTTTCCAGGTATGGTTTCTCATATATCAAGGAAATTTGTCTGACTCAAAAATGGTGTTTATTTTAAAGGGATAGTTTGCCCATAAAAACAAACAAAAAACATACAGGTTTGGAACTACTTGAGGGTCAGTAAATGATGAAGGAATTTTTACATTTTGGTCTCATTACACACTAAAATATACCCTTTCAGATCAGACAATTTACCTTGATTCACACGGAACCTGTGCCACACCAGGAAAAACCTATAAAATAAAAAAAAACATGAATTTCAGAGAAAGAGAGTAAGAGTAGTTTTGCTATCATAAGGAGTTTCTCAGAAGGGACACAAAACCAAAAGTCATCTCTCTGCACTTCAGCTTGTGGGTGTTAGCAAGGCACCAGTTAAGCAGCATCTCTGTCCCTGAATAAACCCAATGCAAAGCTGAAAGAAAGAGGAAACAGTGCAAACAAACCTGATCCTGACACCTTCTCAGGGCTCCCAACATTCTTCATCACTTATTAATGGCTATGGGTGACAGGGGCCATGAAACGGCCCCGACGTCTCATTTCAGACCTTTTCTGCTGGCCGCATGCACAGGTCTCAACTACTTTGCAAGTCAAACCACAAGTTACTGCGAATGCTCATCCCACCCCAGCCCCCACCCTCCCCTAACAGCCCCTCCCAGGCAATGTGATGTGAGGCTATCGAAAATAGATTTCAAGAGACTGTCAAACTGTCTTAATGAGTATTTGAATTGTTATAATTCATCTGGGCAAGTGTAAAATAAACGAGTTTAGAAGTTCAACTAGCACATTACCTATTTGTATGAAAGGTTACAATATAATTAGTAAAGAAATAGTTCAGAATTGTGTAATCCGTTGGAAATAACATCGCCAACACAGTAAAATCTTTTTATAAGAATCATAAGGTAACTACTGTCAATGAAATTGTATCTAGGGTATTTAATGTGTTTGGTGATTAAGTTCTTAGAATGCAGCTGCATCTCTCCTCAACTAACTTTAAAACAACGCTAATCCAGCAAAACACACCAAATGGTCAATTTACTTGCTAATTATATGAACCGAAAACTGACACCTCAGAATGAAACATCTTAGGCAAGCACATGTCACACATTCCAGGAACACACATTGACTAAATGACATAAACCAAAACAAGCAGCAGGGTTTTACGGAACACTTCTATTCTAAGTCTTTCTATTAACTTTCTTTCTTCACCAGTCACACCTGTGCATTTGACGAGAGCTTTGGAATCCTTCGAAAGAATCTTTTGAGAGGATGAATGCCAAACATGTGACTTATGTACACAGGGCATCCCTCTGGCATGCATGTCCACTCAGTATGTATGTACAAGCTAGTGTGTGTGTGTTTGTGTGATTAGCTCCTCCTGCCTCATGAGGGAGGGAAGTGGAGTCACTACACTAGGTTGACAGGGTTCAAGGTCAAGGCAGAGAGGATATTACCGGATAATCGTAAACAGTATAGAGAGGGGCTGACTGGTTCCAAGAAGAACAGGATTTTGAGCAAGGCCCTGCAAATGAGTCACTCCTTCCAGCATTGGTTAGGGAAGCATGATTGGTCGCAAAAAGAGCAAGCAGGAAGTGGGTGAACAACTGATAAAACTGGAGTTGAAGTGCTGGGCCGTTTCACTGGATATGTCAGTAGGCTGCCAAAAATCCAGACTTGTATTCACAATGCCCCCCCAAAAGGTATTGGGTGAGGCTGCTTGAAACAAGTGCACACTAGCGCAATTCTTTTACTTCACTTTAGTTGCTGGAACCTTCTATAGACACAAAATCACGTCCTCCTTTAAGGAAGAAAAAAATCGATCTTATGTCATGGGGTCAATAGTACAAGTAACTATGTTCTCTTTATGGTGAGATATTAAAGGTCTTAGTTACAGAAGTATATCAGATATACAGGAAAATGTAGCGCAGATAAGGCAAGAAACCCAGCTTCAAAAGCAACAACATGTATACAATATTTCTAGACCAGCAGCAGCTTTGTTAGAATCCCATGTTAGAATGAAGCCCACGTGTGAAAATGCCACGACGCCCCCTCATAGTTTGACCAAACTTTTCCAGGCCTAACTCCCTGCATCTGTCTTTGAGCTGCCCACAACTTCAGAGTCTTTTGGACAAACTGTGGCTGGGCCAGGAAATAAGGAAAGAGCAAGAAAACCAACAAATGAAACAGAAACAAAATTGAGTAATGGCGGCAGCGCTACACCAGCCCTTCCAGTGCCCTTGCGCTCAGGCCACATTCCGTGTCTTGAGCTCTTCTGCTGCTGCGGCAGCCTGGCCGGTTGAGCAGAAGAAGATTTCCTGCATGACTCTGGTGATGGCGTAACAGAACCCGCTCTGTTATCAGATGACCAGCTCTCCCAGACACTGCACTGCACACTCCACCACCAGTCCACCACAGCTTCCACTTCCCTTTTCTGCCTCTGCTGAGGCGGCAAAAAGACATGACAACCCACCCAGGATTTTCTTTTTCAGCTCTACCTCCCAGCATATCTCTGAATGATCACACTAAGGCAAGTATGTCAAGGACTCCTCCACCTGCTGGAGGTCGAGCTCCACAATAGCGAATGGGGGCGAGAGCATAAACTTACAGCAATTGGATTCCACATTACTGTCAAGGAAACCAAGGTGGCGGCCTCACTCATCATGTCGACAGACTCTCAGCAGATAAGAACAAGTGGAAGAAGGCCCTTTAAAGAGTGCAATGAGAGAATAATGAGATGAGCTCTCTGATTACCGATAGTGATGCTAGCATGCAGCAGCCCATCTCCCAGCATCAGTCTTTAATTTGATCAATTCAAAAATGTTTCACAAACGTCCACCGTCCCCCAGACGTTATAAAACTAAACCTTGTTCAGAGAGCCAATTCAAAGTGTGTTCAAAAAGCTCAAAGATTACTTTAGCGTTAGAATTATACTTTTTGGCCAAACAGTAGCTGGTAACTTCTACTGCCTTCAGCCCTCAGTCCTGCACTGCACAAGGACTCAAAAACAGATGCTTTACATATCCTTACAACAGAAGACAATTTTCCTTAAATTTTCAGAAGGATTGTGTAAGTTCAAATAAAATTTCAAATTTCTATTTCATAAGCATTCAAAAGCTAGTCAAATATTTTGTACGTGCAACTGCATAAAAACCTTAACCAATTCACACTGGACGTCTAGCAATTGAAACTTTAAATAAACACAAAGGCAAACAAAACTAATATTTAGTCAATTTTTAAAAAGCTAAAAAAAAAAATCTGAAATTTCATAGATGTAACAAAACACATGCTCAGTGAAATAAACAACAAAACACATTAAGTTAATACAAAAGAAAAAAACACTGGAGGATGTATCAGCATGAAGTTCACACATACCTTTCCTGTCATAAATGCTGACCTGAAACGACCCTGTCAGGTAATTTAACTATACACAGTGTTAACTGGTTTATGGTGGGTAAGAATCTCTTTGCCACTTAAACAAGCAAAAGACAATAAAGATCGGCCTCACCCCAGTGAGACAAGGAGCCTTGTCTGTGCATTATTCAGACACTGGGCGTCATCTGTGAATAAAAATACTCCTTGCGTCCTCACTGTACCTGCACTAGTGAAAACGAGTCGAACAAGTATGGGTTGGCAATGATCTGCATTTGAATAATAATTTTTTTTTAAAAGCGAAAGAGGCCGCAGCTTCCTTTGAGTCCAGGACAAACATGTAGTCTACTTATTTGACAAGCCAGGACACCCTGTTTAAGACCCTTACCAAGGGAGATGATGTTGATGTGCATTATGGCACAGCTATAAAAAGAATGAGGGGGCAGAGAAGCCTACAGGGGATCTGCCAAGAGAAGAGGAAAAAACTTTCCAAAGTCCAAGATTCTTAGAGATCTCAATGAGCAGGACATCTTTGATGTGAATTTCACTTTATTTGAAACCATCTCACCAGAGTCCACTGGAGATGCCAAAGTATTAAACCCACAGTTAACAACCTTTTGTGACCAAAACTTAAATGAATCTGCTTGAAAATATTTTCTTTATTAAATTACAATTTTTAACAGTCAGATCAGACAAAAATAAGAATCACAACAAAGACATAGCTCAGTTAAGAAAGTACTTGGAAAGTGAAACTCGATGCACAGAAGCTCACCAAGTCATACCTTAATACAGCAGGCCTCCGTTTTCCATCTCTATGCCATCTGCAAGTGGGTCAAGCGCTCTGAACTTAATCGAGCCAAGTCCCTCTCTTTCCCCTTTAAAGATTCCATTATTTCTCTTCTAGCTTGCCTTTCCCGTCTCAGACACCAGAGAGAGTGAGAGTGCATTTGGAGCTCTTACCGGCCGGCCAGAATTTTGTTTCCCTGTGGGTCAGCTCAGTCTTCCTCTGCCTGCCTGCGTGCCTGGGCAGGGCTCTGGTCTGGAGCAACTGCAGACAGGAAACTTCCGAGTGGCCCTAGTTACACAGGCAAGCCCTTGCCTGATCCCACACAGGCAGCCACCTACTAACTCCCCCACTCTATTTTCAGCCCACTGCTCTGGCTTCACTTCCCCCTCTGCGATTGGCTTGCCCGCTACTCAATCACCACACCTCCCCACTAGGATAGGCTACCGGCTGTTCCCTTTCCTGTATGGCCAAGGGCAAGGCACTCTGGGAAGCGCAGTCCTTAAGAATGACTTCACCTGCTTCTAGGCCACTGCTAAGAACTACAAGTCCCAAACTGTTTGCTCTTGCCACCCCCACATCTGAGCTTGCTTCAACGTAAGCATTCAGAGCTGAATTATACACTACCGTGCGTTGCTAGCAGGATGCCAGGTATTAAAAGTATAGACCAGCCAACAAGCAGTGCCAAGCTCTGTACGTATGAAAAAAGACAAAGGGATCCAAACACAACTCTGTAGAACTACAATACAATAAATTTATATTATCACACTACATCATTTGACATATTCAGCATTCTTGCCCCAAATGAGACTTTTTTTAACCTATAATATTCATCATAACAGTAACCAGTGTAAATACACTTTGAGACAAAAAGAAAAAAGCCAAAGGTGAGTGCACAAGTTGTCAGAGTTTGTTTCTTCATGAATGACAACAAGGGTTTAAAAAAAAAAAAGTGGACCCTAGTGCTTAGCACTGTACCTTGTCCTTTGGAATGATTTTTGGTTCCTTCCTACTACGTTGTCCACTTGTCTAACCTCTGACAAATACACCCCTTAAGGGCTTGCCTCCAAAACAACAACAAAAAATTTAACAACTGTAAGTACAGAAAAAAAGTTTATTAAAGCAATGCCAGTGAAGCGAAGGTGTACTAAAGCAGTTATTAGGAAGACCAAAGAAAAAGAGGAATAATTCCTCACTGGCACAGGAGCCCCCTCCTACCCCCTACACACATACTCTCTCTCTCTCTCTCTCCTCTCTGTCCCCCTCCCTCATTCCTTCCTCCTCAGCCTTGCTCCCTTCAGTCGATAGGCCCTGTGCAGACAACACAGGGGACAAGCAGGGGGAAATGAGCTCACCTGCGATGGCCGTGGCGGTGCTTGTTATGGGTTAGCTCTTCACTCTTCTTCTCTCCTCCTCTGTGGAGCTCTCTCTCTCTTAGCTATCCCTGCTGTTCAAAGCTCTGTATGCGCTAACCAAAGCACTAGCAGGTCAACTCAATTCCCTTCCTGGTTTCTGGAGGGCAAAAAGGTCCCTCCCTTTCTCTCTCTCTCTCTCTTGCTCTCCCTCTCTCTTAAAGAAACAGCATTCCCCCATGCTGCTCTCCTCTGCTCCTCTCTGGGGAATACAGTAAAAGGCTGTTATCATGCCAGTGGCCACCATCACTCATGACATTACCACAACAGTGGAGTTCACAAGGATATCGCTGGTAAAACCGGCCTGTATTTGTACAAAGTTGTTTGCAGGGGTGTTGCACGTGTACTTCGGGTGAGTGTGTGCGCCAAAATAATGAGAGTTAACCGTCCTTCTTTCTCCACTGTGTGCACGAATGCAGTCGCTCCCACCAATCCCATTGCCTGAAGTCATGGAGTCCCACCCCAGAACAAGCCATGGCACATTCCAGTACACTCAGGGTCTGCCAGCAGCACCCCCCGTAATACATATACACACACCCTCCACCGTCTCAAACTAATACAGCTTCATAATCTGTACCTACTCTCAAGGGGTCGTCGGATAGAAGTGACACTATTCACTTACTGCTACACCTTTTTGACAGGTTTTCCTCCTTTATATGCAACAACCAAACCCTCCAAAACACTATGAACAGTAATTAAAAATAAGTAATCCAACAACTAAATGCGTACTGTGATTCTCCATACTCACCAAAATCATGCTGAGAGAAGCAATGAGTGCAGTCGACCAGCGGGACAGACATGGATTATCCTCCACCACTCAAGAGACCCGTTTGCCCGCTTACCTGCTGCCGGACTGAAACTTCTCAAAAACAGGAGGAGCAGTATATGACCTCTCTGAGAGTGACTGTACAATTGAGGACTCTCCTGTAAAACAGGGAGTGGACGCATAGGAGCGTAATTATGACACCGAGTTGTGCTTTAATGCTGAAGTATTAAGTAGGAGACGAGCATGATGAACTAACACACACCAGACATAGAGGGCAGTATAATTGGGACACTTAAAATGGATTCATAATTAAAAGAAGCTGTAAAGGTGCACAAATGCATTAATAAATGCATATTCTTGAAGCATTGGCTAAATGATAATCTTTTTTTTTTTTCTTTTTCAAAACATGCCATAATTTCACATGTACAAAGTATGTTATCTGTATTACCATTGGCTTAATTTAGACTAAAAAATTATAATACATTATATAGTATTAATAAACCATTTTAAAATATGCATCTCCCGGTACTGGATGTTATTACAGCCGTGCTAAAATATACCAAAAATTAACAGCTATAATGCAAATCACATGTTTATCTAGCTGTCTATCCCCCGGTTTCACAGACTCGGCTTAAGCCTAGTCCTAGACTAAAATGTAAGTCTGAGCTGTTTCAACTGAAAGAAACTTGCACTGACTGATCTTAAAATATATCAGTGCCTTTGTTTTGTCTCAAGATGCATACCAAGTAATGTTTTTTTTTTCTAAGCACGTTCATAAAAATTGCTTAAATGTCCTAATTGAACTTTGATCTAATCCTGGCTTACTCTAAGCCCCGTCTGTGAAACCGGGCCTATGTCTTACGTTTTAAATTATGTAATGAAATGTTCACTCTTATTATTTAACAATTTATATTAAATATAGTACACCGCAATAAAATCTTTAAACATTATCCAAACATAAGACTGACAACAACTACAGCCAAATTATCATTCACAAATAAGTTTTATTTTTATATTAGAACTGTATTCAACACATTCCATATGGTAATAAAATGACATATACTCTTCTCTAAACTAGGCCAAAACAAACAAACAAAACAAAAATACAAATAAATGCTATTTTAAGACTGAAAACAGTACCATTTGTACGGCACATATATTTTTATACACATAAGTGTGGCAACGCATTCACTTAGTTGGAGCTGAATGCCAGTGTGTAATACAGTTTCAATGTTACCGAAAAGTACTAGCCCCCTCCTCCCCCCCACACACATACTCTCTCTCTCTCTCTCTCCTCTCTGTCCCCCTCCCTCATTCCTTCCTCCTCAGCCTTGCTCCCTTCAGTCGATAGGCCCTGTGCAGACAACACAGGGGACAAGCAGGGGGAAATGAGCTCACCTGCGATGGCCGTGGCGGTGCTTGTTATGGGTTAGCTCTTCACTCTTCTTCTCTCCTCCTCTGTGGAGCTCTCTCTCTCTTAGCTATCCCTGCTGTTCAAAGCTCTGTATGCGCTAACCAAAGCACTAGCAGGTCAACTCAATTCCCTTCCTGGTTTCTGGAGGGCGAAGCATTGGCTAAATGATAATCTTTTTTTTTTTTCTTTTTCAAAACATGCCATAATTTCACATGTACAAAGTATGTTATCTGTATTACCATTGGCTTAATTTAGACTAAAAAATTATAATACATTATATAGTATTAATAAACCATTTTAAAATATGCATCTCCCGGTACTGGATGTTATTACAGCCGTGCTAAAATATACCAAAAATTAACAGCTATAATGCAAATCACATGTTTATCTAGCTGTCTATCCCCCGGTTTCACAGACTCGGCTTAAGCCTAGTCCTAGACTAAAATGTAAGTCTGAGCTGTTTCAACTGAAAGAAACTTGCACTGACTGATCTTAAAATATATCAGTGCCTTTGTTTTGTCTCAAGATGCATACCAAGTAATGTTTTTTTTTTCTAAGCACGTTCATAAAAATTGCTTAAATGTCCTAATTGAACTTTGATCTAATCCTGGCTTACTCTAAGCCCCGTCTGTGAAACCGGGCCTATGTCTTACGTTTTAAATTATGTAATGAAATGTTCACTCTTATTATTTAACAATTTATATTAAATATAGTACACCGCAATAAAATCTTTAAACATTATCCAAACATAAGACTGACAACAACTACAGCCAAATTATCATTCACAAATAAGTTTTATTTTTATATTAGAACTGTATTCAACACATTCCATATGGTAATAAAATGACATATACTCTTCTCTAAACTAGGCCAAAACAAACAAACAAAACAAAAATACAAATAAATGCTATTTTAAGACTGAAAACAGTACCATTTGTACGGCACATATATTTTTATACACATAAGTGTGGCAACGCATTCACTTAGTTGGAGCTGAATGCCAGTGTGTAATACAGTTTCAATGTTACCGAAAAGTACTAGAGAAAAAAAAAAAAAGAAACACAAAGCTATTTAGAGCAAGTGGGCTTTAGCCACACTTCACAATGCCCATCTGTAACACCTGTGTATTTATAAGACCTACTAATACAGCAATATCTGCTGAGGTTCATTTGATCTGCATAGCACTGTACATGGTGGCCTGAGACGTTACTTTTCACTTTATATACCACTGAAGACCAGACTATGAGTGTACCTGTTGTGGTCTTGGTTGAAATAGCTTTGATGTGTTTAAATTCATTGGGATTATTGTAAAAGCACTGCACTAGGTGCAACCCTGGTTGTATTCAAACTTGAAGTCTAACGCAGGCAATTTTAGGTTTCATAAAAAAAAAAAAAAGAACATTGAAGCATAAGTTATAAACAATATTTCTTCCCAAATATACTCTTCTGAAGATGATTTTAAGTTGGAAAATGAAGCAAGATTTTGTATGAAAAAAACCCAAAAAAACATTATAGGTTTATGAATACTAAATGACCAATCTTTTCCACGGGCACAGCAAGTAGGACAAACGGTGTCTGATACAGGAACTCTAATTAAACTTATGTTTCTTTCTGCTAATGTTTGCAAACTTACAGTATGGCCATTAGTTGGCGTGATGGATTACTTGACCATGCACTAGCAGTGCTACCTGCAATGCACGAGCTACACACCTGTACGTATGCACTTGATCATTGCTGATTTGGCCATCTTGCATTTATAATCATCTTTGTAATAAACCAACCTCTATGATCCACAGAAGCCCTCTTTGGTTTTCTTTCTTTTTTTTTCTTTGCAAATGGCAGTTGATTCTCAATTAAATGCTTGCCATTGAACCAAGCTATACATTTTAACACAGTGTATGCCAAAGAATAGCGCTTCAGCAAAAAAACAAAACAACAACAATATAATGAATTAATAAACCGACCGTGAAAAGAAAAGAAAAACATCATAAAACTAGTGAAATAGCTGTTATACAAACAAAACCTAGCTGATCTTTACCAATTTGGACATTCCTGAATAATGTGGTCGTTAAAAATACAGCCACTCCACTTAAGTGACTCTAATCTCCATATTCATTCAAATGACTGTGTTCCAACACCAGGGGCTCTCATAAAACAATGCCCCAGAATGCACCTCAGTGGAAGGGAAGAGCAAGCAGAGAACAGCAAAAGAGTGCACAGCGGTGTGCCAGAGGCTTACAAGCATACAGGCCTGTGAGGGCAGAAAGGAGAGAAGTAAAGCGGAGGATGAGGATGGCATGGGTGACTACGCTGTGAGCCAGCGTTCATTCAGCACTATGAGTGGGTGTGCTGGGCTGGTGAAGGCCCATGGTTTTACACAACCATCCAGCAAAATCCACCTCCTCAACCTCGGCCCGCTTGATGAACGTGTGGCCCTGTGAATGAATATCATATGATCAATTACACCATGAGCAGGTTTTGGTGCCAAGCAGCGGATGTTTATTTTATTTGCATCCTGCCTTGATTCTAACTATTTATACATCAATTTACACCTACAAGTATTATTTTTTGTAATGCGTGATATTCTACAATGCATCATATTACTGATATGAGTACCTACTGTCAATACTACATATTCAAGTTGTAACTACAGCTAATTGCTGTACTAACATGGCTAAAACCTGGATATGTTGGTAAGACTTTACAATAAGGTTCCATTAGTTAATGTTAGTTAATGAAAATAGTAGGGATGCACCGATACCACTTTTTCCAGTACTCGCCCGATACCGATACTTTTATTTTTGGTACTTGCCGATAACGAGTACCGATACCAATATTTTTATTGCATTTGTAAATTTTTAAAATATTGGGTACAGAAACCAAAATAGTATGTATAATGTTAGTTGGTTAACTTCATTTATCAAATAGATACAGTCAAACCTAAATTTATTCAGACACCTTCAACATTTCTCACATTATCACAGTTTATTAGCTATAGTTTAGAAAATGGTAATAAAATATAACAAGAACTCAGAGTTAAACTGTGTCAGAACAAATTCAGCTTGATGATGTTAGATAACTTTGATAGAAAGGTATGTAATAGATTACAATCAACCAAAAATTAGACAGCTGTTAGTATGACAGTATTTACACAACCATCAATACTAAGTCGGGCAACCCTGAAATAACTCGCTGACAGGAAATTTCTATGCAGTATAGGCCTACTTGTTCCGGTTTGCAGTAGCGCTACTGTGCTGTAACATGGTGTAGGCTAGTTTTTAATAATGCATTAGTAAATGTTGAAATTAATATTAACTAAGATTAATAAATGCTGTAGAAGTATTTTTCATGCTTAGTTCATAGGGATGTAACGATACACTCAACTCACGATTTGGATTTCACGATTCGATTCACGATTTATTTTTTTACAAAATGAGATTTAAGACAAATTATAAATTAAATGTGTCCTTTTATTATTGCTTGGACAA